CTCATTGCTGAATGTTTCTCTCACACACATGATTAGTTAAAAAAAAAATGTGTCCATTGCCAAATCTCTATAGATTTCTTCAATCTGTTTCCAAATATGTGACACAAACAGGAAAGGTATAGTACAAAGGATAATAATATATCCACATATTCATTTATAAACACTTCTTACATCTAGTCGCTGAAAAATACTTCTCAGATAGTCAGTAAACGTTACAGCAAAACATGGCTAAATGGCTTCATGTTTTTGTATGCTTTAGTGTTACGAGTTAAAGAAACGTTGTTCATTTCCTGCCCTAAATGATCACAAAACGTTGCTGTCATGTTTTACCCAGAGGTGGGTGTATTTCAGTGGTGGGTGAAGTTTGTTTTGTCCTTTTAAAAATGCATGAGCAATATCCTGCTCACTCTACGTGAACTGTCCAGGCTAGTAAGCATTATGGACTGGACAGTAAAGGTGAGATCCTTCCCCCTACTCTAGCCCTTTACAGTGGAGTAGTGTGGTAGGAGTTCCTTGGTGCAGGCACTGTGGAAGACAGCTATCAGGCAGCCTCACAAAGAACCTCTCTCAAGCTCCAACGTGGAGTGTGGAGTGTTGGGGGTAGCGGGGTATGTTGGGGCTAAGACACTACACTCAATGCTACAGCACTGGGGAGGTAGGGAAGTCCAGGGAGGCTTCTGTATCTTAGACGGGACCCCAGGGCTGTCTAAATTACAAGCTTAGGGTGTGTGCTCTCCAACCCCTGGAACAGCTCAAGGTTAGTATAGAGCAGGGGTGGGAAAACTACCCAGGGGCCACATCCGGCCCTTGAGACATTTTAATCCAGCCCTCGAGCTCCGGCTCGGAAGCAGGGTCCGGGGCTTGCCCTGCTCCAGCTCTCCAACTGGGGAGCGGGGTCGGGGGTTTGCCCCACTCCGCGCGTACTGTGGCTCTGCGCGGCTCCCGGACACAGTGGCATGTCTCCCCCCCCCCCCCCCGGCTTCTACGCATAGGGCAGCCAAGGTGCTCCGCATGCTGCCTCCTCCTAAGTGCCACCCCCGCAGCTCCCATTGGCCGTAGTTCCCGGCCAATGGGAGCTACAGGGGCGGGACAGGGCAGTGTGCAGAGCCTTCTGGCTGCGCCTCCGCGTAGGAGCTGGAGGGGGGACATGCCACTGCTTCTGGGAGCTGCTTGAGGTAAGTGACACCTGGAGACTGTACCCCTGACCCCCTCTCATGCCCACACCCTCACCTGCAGCCCTGATCCCCCTCCTGCCCTCTGAACCCCTTGGTCCCAGCCTGGAGCACCCTCCTGCACCCCAAACCCTCATCACCAGCCCCACCCCAGAGCCCGCACCCCCAGCTGGAACTCCCTCCCCCCCCCCGCATCCCAGCCCCCTGCCCCAGTCCAGAGCCCCCTCCTGCACACTGAACTCCTCATTTCTGGCCCCACCACAGAGCCTGCACCCGTAGCCGGAGCCCTCACCCCCTCCCGCACCCCAACCCCAATTTTGTGAGCATTCATGGCCCGCCATACAATTTCCATACTCAGATGTCGCCCTCGGGCCAAAAAGTTTGCCCACCCCGGTATAGAGCAACTACAAAAGTGGCTTAAAGCCACCTTAGCCCCTGTTTCCCCGGGACTGTGGGTTTTATTCTACGCTTCTTAGAGATGCAGCACAGAATCTCACCCCAAGTAAATTACAGGGTTAGGAGGACCCATGTAAGTAAGGAAAGTGGATTTGGCACCATTTTTAAGCACTATGGGATCCTTGTAGATTATAGTTGCTTAAGCAACAGTTCATTGAACCCTTGCTGGTGGTCCACCAGAGAGCTGGCAGGTAGCATGGTGTTGGCTTTTTCTTTCTTTCCATCTGTTTAATGTATTTTTTAGCTGTCTTTTAATGCAGTTTAGCACTTCCCCATGTATCATATCTCCATCCAGAGCAATCACTGCTTTTCAGCGATTCATGAGGTGGGAAAATAGCCCAAGCAGTCAGCAATTGGCAGAGGAGGTGTCTGTGAGATAATCTTTGTTAAAATGAGACCCACAGCCTGGAAAAGTTTGAGATGTCCCATGCTAGATAAAAGGTGCCTGTAAAGCGAAGTTACTGTAATTTCAACAAAAAAGAGATAACCACTTAGAACAAAAAGCAAGTTAAGAAAATATGCTAGGATGTTAACTTTCCAGTATTAAACCCTGCCGTTATTCAGTTTATACTAGACCTACTTATTCAACCATATGAACTAATGTTTGATAGTTGTGACATTTTAAATTACTTCAGCTCTCTACAGGCTTTGCAATAAGATTAATTATTTTTCCCTGGAACTATTTTCAGCTTCCAGTTTTCTTCTTTTTTGTGTTCCTTTAGCTCATGCTCTTTATTTTTCCCCATTACTTTGGTCCGTGTTGACTTCATCCTCTCCTCTGAAAAAGGAAGTAGCTGGCAGTCGTTCGTATAGTTGCATAAAAACAGAGACAGGCTGACCTCTGTCTTCTGTTATGTGCATACAGCTCTTGCTAACTTCACTAATGAGAGTTACCTGCATGTGTCTGTGGGCAGAATAGGAACCACAGACATTGGTGGGTCCCTTCATTACACTCGTTGCTGAGAAACTCGTACTTTGAGACCTCAGACCTCAGGAGGAGCATGGCTAACACGAGTCAATAATTCATGATCTGCTCTGAAGAAGGGATTCAGCTGCTTCTAGGAAGCAGTTGAAGCCCAGGTTGTAGTATCTGGCAAGGCTAAGTTGCTTTTGGAGATGGGGAGGGCATGTTTAGTGAGCAATGCAGACTATTCAGACACCCCAGCTGGCTATGCAGACTGCTTTTTCTGCTTTTCAGTTTTGACATGAAAACCAATGTGGTGGAAGAGGGAAAGATTTCATTTGGTGACAGATGCCGAAGGAGGAGTAAACCTGAAAGAGAATGTATGTTTAAGTAGTTTTGAGTAAATAAAAACTGTTCCTTTGTTGTCATTTCCAGAGTAGTTCTATGTAATTGGTGTATGCTTCTAGGCCTGCACTCGCAAGAAAATGTGCGGTATAAGGAGAAAGAGGTGGGAATATTACATGCAAAATTGAGGATATCTGTGCGCCATGAATAATTGAATCTAGCTCTCCAAATGCCTATTTTGCTAAGTGACCAAGATTTTAAAAGAATAAAATTATTTTAATAGCAGGAAAACTTACTAGTCCACACAGGAGAAATAAAAGGAACTGATAAAGGCCTTCTCATTTGAACACTGACAGCATATTTTTATTGTTAAACCTGTAGAATGATGCTGTATCTTATTTGTGGCTGTTTTGTTTTGTTTTTGTTTAAAATGAACAACCTACTGGGATTTCTTGCTTTCTTGGAAAACTGGAGTAGTGTTTAAGCCTTTTAAGAATACTGTCTTTTTGAAGCTGGTGAAGCATTTCACTGCTGTTTATAATAAGAAATTCTAGATACGGTTGTAGGGGCAGTTCTGGGCACATTTGTGAGACTTAAGGGTTAAATTCCCAACACTGTCGCATATGGCAGTGAGCAGAATTGCAGATGTTGATGATGCAACATAATTAGTATTCTTTTATGTAAATGAAGGTTGTCAATGTTAGCTGGAATCACCACTTAGTCTCACCAAGACTGGATAGGATTATTCCCCAATTTTCAGACAAGATTTGAGAGGGAACAGAAGGAAGGAAAGAAAGACAGAAAGAGAAATAAATGGTAGTGGTGGTGGGGAACAGTTTGATCTTGTTATAAGTAGACCATTTCCATTCTTTGTTTTTCACTTTATTTCTGAAAGTGCCTTACCAATTATTTGGCATGTGTGAATGAACTAGCATAGCCCAAGTAAAAGGCACAGTTAAATCCAGAGCAGTTTTAAACAGCCGGGGGGGAGTTACTTTGATGTTTAAGTATCTCTGTTGCAGAGACATAAAAATTCTAAAGATGCCACTTCTATTGCTATTTTCAAATAGAGAACAAAAGACAGAGTGGAAAAGGTTTAACTTCCTCTAAAATCTTCCATCTTTAATATGGTGGTACTAATAAGAAGCTAGTAGTAAAGTTTAAATTAAACTTGCATAATAAATTTAAGAGAACCTAAGGCGTATTTTCTTGGACTTGTCAAATGTGCAATCTGCATGCTATTTGTAGTTGGCTTTTCAGTGCTCATCTTAAAACTCCTGGAAAGTATGCTATTTCCTTAGTTGCATTTCAACTGTATTCCCCATAAAATAGCATTCCGAATTTTGAAATAAGGCTTTCTGCATGCCAGTTCTGTAACTGTGTTTTGAATGGTATGATGACAATCTGTAACCATATTGTGCATATTGCTAGTCTGGCTGGATATTATTACTTTGTGTTGTATTGAGGTACTGTGGTCACACAATATGTGTATGAGGTGAGATAGTCTTTTCTTAATTATTACAATAAATAACAGCCCTCTTTCTATCTTTACCTTTCCTCCTCCATTATGGACAGAATGCAGTTCACAATCTCCCGCTCCCCCCATCTTTTTCCCATTACGCTTGTTTTATTTTAATATCATCTACATTTGACAACTCTCCATTTATACATTTTTATTATAAAAAACCTATAGGAAATAGAGAGGTTTTCCCCCCAAAACAGATACCTGCTGCATAGCCAAAATTAAAGTGGTCACAAGAGGTGTATAAGTTTGCTTAGTTTTCCTGTTGAGATTTTACTATGCCATATGGTAGGTCATCCACTGTGAAAAACTTTTGAAGAAAAGGCTATGTGTGTGATCAGCAGAGTTATAGATAATCAGAAAAATGAAATTCTGGAGTACCCCTTTCCATTTGACATTTCTTCACAGCCAGTTATTTGGGTTGTTAGGTGCATTAATGTCATGACTTCCAGCTAATTCTGTACCTTGTTATGAATACATTCTCTGCGGTAGCTCTTATCATTGAGGGGATTAATCGTGTTCTAAAGCAGCCCCACTATGGGTTTTTTTGTTTGTTTTTTTTAGTTTGTTTACATGTATCACAGGAATATTCTCTTTCTAGGGCTTTGAAGCTGTGCTGCTTTATGTGATGAAGACCTAAGTAGTAATTAAATTCCTGAAGAACTGCCAAGACTCCTATTGGCTGAAATGGGGATGTTCCAGGCTCTGGTCATTGAGTTGCGAAAAAAAGAATGTTTAAAGATGACACAGTGAGTAGTGAATTGTATGTGTATGTATGTATGTATCTGGCTGACATGTCTTCATCTCAATTTTTTTTCCATTTGTGTCCGATCACTGACTGGATTATACTAAAGAAACCATTTTACTAGCATGAAGAGCTCTCTGTGGTTGTGTTCTTTGTAGAACATAAATGAATCATTTATAAAACATATGGATGTAGAAGACACAAGTGGAAGCATGTGGTTCTTTAGAATTCCAGTATCCCTGCTTTGCACTTTCTTCATCTGGGATTTAAAAATAGAGTAAATTGGTTGTCTTTTCTTTTGTGTGCAGACATACCCAATTGTGCATTATGTCAGAATGCACAAGTGAAAAATCCGGGAATGTATTTTCTACCTGCAGTTTCTGTGCAAGGATGTAATCTGCAAACAACTTTTTAAAAACAAATGTATTGACCTTAGTTTAGAAGTACAGAGGCAAATCTTTAGCCGATGTAAATTGTTGTAGCCCTATTGAAGTCAATACTGCTATGACAGTTGCACTAGCTGAGGATTTATCCCATTGTTTTTGTAAGGTGAGTCTGTGACCCATATTGCTTGCAAGCCTTCCTTTAAATTAAGTTTGCTGAGGAGAATTCGGTGAAAGAGCCAAAAACCAAACCCATACCTGCTCAAATACAATCACATTCACAGGTTGCCATAACATGACTGCATAAACTACATGAGACCTATAAACGTGATGGTTGCATTTCATTTTTTTTTTTGTCATGGCTGAATTTTTATATTCAACTTTAGTGAAATATTTGAAACTCTTGCTCCTGTACCCTGCCCAGCTCAGAAAAAAAAATATTACATGGTGGGAAATGAGAGACTTCAAAAAACCAATAGTGTGATATACAGCCTTTACCTTTCAGGTTTTTTCAAATATAGTCCAGTTTGGTCATGACAACTATCTGGTATCTGTGTGGCTTTTATGGGGAAAAAAGTTCATAATCTCAATCCAGTTCCTAGTGGACAGGTATGTCTGTCACAAAAACATCTTCAATATTGGCCTTAAATTAGTGCATCTTAAGAGTGCAGGCTCGCTAAGGCATGTTGTCAGCTTGCAGTGGCACCACCTGGGCTGTTGGCAGTAGGTGGATAGACAGCTTCATTCTTCGGAGTTTGTCAACCCAATATCTTTCACTGATACTAAAAATAGCTTTTAAAAATTGCTACCAGAGGTATTTCAGTCTGTGAAAGGAAATACTGTAATTGGAGTTGGCAAGATGTGACACATCTGTCTTTTTATGTCTTTTTTATATCTTTACAAAAGACAAATGACTTTAAATTTGTGCTATGGCTCTAAAATCCTTTTTCTTTTGTCTTGCAAGGTTAAAGCAGTGGAGACTTCTGTAAGACATGGATAGATGCAAACATGTTGGGCGGCTACGACTCGCCCAGGACCATTCTATCCTGAATCCCCAGAAGTGGCACTGCAAGGACTGCAACACCACGGAGTCTATATGGGCTTGTCTGAAATGCTCCCACGTGGCCTGTGGAAGATACATTGAGGAACATGCACTTAAACACTTTGAAGAGACCAAGCATCCCTTGGCTATGGAAGTTAATGATCTGTATGTGTTTTGTTACCTTTGTGAAGACTATGTCTTGAATGATAATCCTGAGGGTGATTTGAAATTGTTAAGAAGCTCTCTGTCTGCTATTAGAAGTCAGAAGCATGATCCATCAGCAAGAAGTGGGAGGACATTGCGATCAATGGCTTTGGGGGAGGATGTGTATAGCCATCAAAGGACCCCTCAGGGACAGCCTCAGATGCTCACTGCTCTCTGGCACAGGCGCCAATCTTTGCTAGCAAAAGCACTGCGGACCTGGTTTGATAAGAGTTCTAGAGGCCGGCTAAAACTAGAACAAAAGAAACAAATGGAGGAACTGGAGAGAAAGAAGGAAGCAGCCAGGCAGAGGCGGCAAGAGATGAAACGGCGACTTTTGGAGGAACTGGCAAACACTCCTCCTAGAAAGAGTGCGAGACTTCTGTCTCACGTTCACAGAGAGAATCTGATTCCAAGGAAGTTTAGAGAGATGGCAGCAAGTTCCCCTACCTCAAGGCGAGTGCAGAGCAGCAGATTCAGACAGTTTTATTCCATCCGGCGTAAGCCCCTAATGACTCCTGGTGTGACTGGCTTAAGGAATCTGGGAAACACATGCTACATGAACTCAATCCTTCAAGTGCTAAGTCACCTCCAGAAGTTCAGAGAATGTTTTTTGACACTTGACCTCTGTGAAACTGAAGAACTCTTAGCCAAAACCGTGAATGGAAAGGCTAGAATGTCTGGCAAGTTGGCAAATGGATCTGCTGCTAACGAGTCAGGGAGGAATGATAAAATGGGGTCATATGGCAGGCAAAGCTTGCCAGCTGGCTTAAACGGTGGGTCCTCAATAAGCAGGAGTTTAGAACTAATACAGCCCAAGGAACCGAGTTCAAAGCACATTTCTCTCTGTCATGAACTGCACACCCTCTTCAGAGTCATGTGGTCTGGGAAGTGGGCATTAGTGTCTCCATTTGCCATGCTGCACTCCGTGTGGAGTTTGATTCCAGCATTTCGAGGTTACGATCAGCAGGACGCTCAGGAATTTCTCTGTGAGCTGTTGGACAAAGTGCAGCAGGAGCTGGAGTCGGAAGGAACGAAGCGCCGGATCCTCATCCCTTTCTCACAGAGGAAGCTCACCAAGCAGGTCCTGAAGGTGGTGAACACCATTTTTCACGGGCAGCTGCTCAGTCAGGTATGCACATAGCTCGTCACTGAAACCAGCTGCTGCTTTCAGTGCCAGGGAGCAGAGGTTCTGTTTTCTGTGGAACCAGTGGATACTCAACAGGACTTAGGTAGGTGACCCTAATGAAGATGGAATTTATTACAGCACTGTAGTAGAGCTGTTAGGGGGTCTGTTGGCATTTCCAGCATATAACCCACATCTAAAGGTATCAGAACTTAGCTATATTTTATCACTTTAAGATGACAGTTGCACACAGGATAGACAAGTCCTCAGCCCTAGTGCAAGGTGGATTTTGTTTTACACAATATCTTTATACTTAATTTAGCTTTTTTTTTTGTTGTTGTTCTTTTTCTGTGCTCAAAAAAAGGGGAGGGGAGTTGTGGGGAGAGGTCCAGAGAATCCAGTCTTCGTGTCTCATAAAGAATAAAGTTGGTTTTAAAATGAATATTTGCAGTCATTTTGAGACTGATCGTGAGAGGGGCTGAGCACCCATAACTCTTGTTGTTTTCTGTGAGAGTTGCAAGTGGTCTGCAACTCTCAATATCTGGTCCTTTGGGTATGTATTTTCCCCTCGAGTTTCTCACATTATTCCCCAAGGATCTGATAATAAGAGCTGCTGTGTGTCTGTGCAAGCCCTCAATTACCGTTGACTTTGAAGGGCCCTGAAGGTGTTTAGCACCTTGCAAGAGACACTTTGCAGGACTGGGCCATAAAAATGAACACATGACACTATTATTATTACTACCATTTTTTCCCCAGTGCTGGTTATCTTGAATTAGCATTAATAGAAACTATGTGCATATTAAAGGAGAATATATATACCCTTTAGTCCTCTATTTAGATGTGGGCTTTGGGTTTTCTGGGAAACAAGGGTTAATTTAAAATCACCGTTCATTTTGAAAGGTGTCTACTGTGCACATGTATCGGGGGTAGCTGTGTTAGTCTGTATCCACAAAAACAACAAGGAGTCCGGTGACACCTTAAAGACTAACAGATTTATTTGGACGTAAGCTTTCTGTTAGTCTTTAAGGTGCCACCGGATTCCTTGTTGTTACTGAGCACATACTCTTCATACTTTTTTTTTTTTTTTTACTAAATGTTCTGTGTTCAGAAACATCATCCTAGTTGTTTAATACTGTTCAATACATGTCTAGAGTCATAGATGTAGCCAGAGTGTTAAGACTTTTGTATTAACAACTTTTTATGGAGTTATATGCAGTGTGTGTGATGGAATATATTTTGAGCCATTATAGTATATTTGTTATGCTTCTCCTGCCAAGAGGTTTATTTTATGTATGTGACAATGCAACTCCCATTTACACATCATATCTTTCATCCAAGGTTCCCCCAGGGTGATTTGCAAACATTCTTTCATCAAGCCTCATCTGGGGCTGTACACTTTATGGATAGGTAAACTGAGGTACACAGCCATGCAGTGTCTTGCCTAAAGTCTCTCACAGCAAGTGACGGAGCTGAAAATAAAACACCGAAGTCTTCCCTCTCAGTCCCTTGCTTTAACTACTAGTCATCACTCCCTCTGACAATTACATTTGCCCTTCAGTAAGTGAACATACCTCAAGATCAAGAAATCTTGTTTTTCATTTTCCAGTTCGGTAGACTGAGTAGAACCCAGAGTAACACCAAACCTGCATGAATATACTCTCCTCCCCTTTCTTTCTCTGCATGCCCCTGCCTGCTGCTGCCTTAGTTTTAGTTTTAACTTTGCTGCAATTTGTTATTGGTCAGCATCATTTTGCAGGACATGAGGAACAGTGTGCGTTTGAGCTCCCTCCTCCACACTCCCAGAGCAGAGCATGAGTGATTTCATAGGGCTAGTGCGTGAAACAGGAACTGAAACTGACCATAACAGCGAAAGTGAGTATAGATAGTATTCTCGAATACACAAGCGAACAAACTGAAGAAATGGTGAGAATTGGGCCCTAAATGTTAATATGAATTCTTCCTATTGTTATGAGCTGGGTGAAAGCTTATTATGGGTTGAGTTAAAACCCCTTTAAAATGATGAGTGACTGTGCCCTTCCCTTAAGTTAGTTGTAAGAAACACTTGAGGGGCCACACCTAAAACAAGGCCTAATAGAATCTGCTCAGAAACTAACACCATGTGTGGGGGGTTCCACTGGGTATTGTGACCAGGAGTAAAGGAGTGGGTGTGTGAGTGAGTGAGAGAGAGTGTGAGGGGAAAGCAGAAGATATGGGTACTAAGAACAGAGAGAGAGGCAGAGTCAAAAAGCACCAAAGCCAAGAGGTAGCCGGCGAGCCCAGAGTGACCCTGGAAAAGCTAGAGAGCTCTTTTGGGTCTGTTGGCTAGAGAGGTTTGGGGCTGTAAGCTAAGGGCATGTCTTCACTAGCCAGCACTTTAACATGGCTGTGTAGTCACGGCACCATGCTGGGAGAGAGCTCTCTCGGCTCTATAAAAAAACCAACCTCCACGAGGGGAGTAGCTACCAGTGCTGGGAGCGCAGCTTCCAGCGCTGGTGCACTGTCTACACTGCCACTTTACAGCATTGAAACCTGCAGCACTTGAGGGTGTTTTTTCACACCCCTGAGCGAGAAAGTTGCAGCGCTGTAAAGTGGCAATGTAGACAGGGCCTAAGAAACTTGTCTTGTTTTTGATTCCTCCTGCATTTGGAGAAGCAGAACTTTGTACATTCTTTGTAAATAAACAAGATCAGATCAAAGAAATACCTGACTACCACTGATTTCTCCTCCTAATGGGAACATCTCCAGGGCCCTGAACTTTGATTAGCCACTTGGGTCAAAGGGGCAACAGTATTAGAAAATAGTTCAGAACTATTGAGACATGTATAATAATACTTTGCAGTTGTTATATAGGACTTTTCAACTGAGGATCTCAAAGCACACTACAAAGATAAGTATCATCCCCATATACATCATGAAAGAGCCGTAGAGAGGTTTAATGACTTGATCAAAATCACACATTGAGTCATGGTCAATATTGGGAATAGAACCCGTTTCTCTGGACTGCCAGCCCAATTTCCTGTCCACTGGACTGGATTGCCACACAGGCATAACCAAATGATTCTTTGGCCCACGTGAATATAAATGCCTATACTGTAGGTATGTGTACACATAACATCATTTGTATATAAACCTTTCCTTTCCAGGTCACCTGCATAACATGCAACTACAAATCCAACACCATTGAGCCCTTCTGGGATCTATCCCTGGAATTCCCTGAACGCTATCACTCTATTGAGAAAGGGATTGTCCCCGTTAACCAGACAGAGTGCATGCTGACAGAAATGTTGGCCAAGTTCACAGAAACAGAAGCTCTGGAAGGGAGGATATATGCGTGTGACCAGTGCAACAGTAAGTGAAGTGCTGATGCTTTACCTGCAGCTTAGATACACTGTCCATTGTTCCTGGTAAGAGATGTTCATAGTGCACTTTTGTGTGTGTGTGAAAATCTATATATTGGTACCTCGATGCATGTGTGAGAGAGGGGTGTGTTTGTTATGTTTAAAAAAAAAAAATACCCACACCCTTCATCACTACTCTGTTCTGGTGCAGGTTCTTCCTGTTGATAGCTTCTGCACCTTCTGTGTACGAGTTCAGAACTGATCAGGTGCTCCTTTTATCATTCCTTACATTCAGCAGCACAGATTGCTAAGAATATATTTTGACCCCATCTGGGACTGCTCCCTCCTACTATGACTTTCTTTAGTTGGTTGCTTCCTCTGCCCCACTTAAAACAGTCACAGTAATTTGGTGGGGGGGGAGGGGGAGGCGAGATTGTGGAGGCGGGTACAAAAGGAAGTTTATCATCTTCTTTTCTTCCCTGTCATAGCAGAGATGAACAAACTATCCTGGCCAGGTGTGTTGTTGTTATTGTCCTGCAGGATGTGAATTTTAGTGTAGTCCTGGTGAGTTGCAGTGTAGGCTTAGCATCATGTTTCCTTCAGGCACTGTAGACTTGAGCATTTTTGTCTCTGCAGCTGTAGCTTTCAGGCAAAGAGTTCTACAGAGCCACCGTGTCAGAGAAGAGGTGCTCACCTTTCTTTGTTACTAGTAGGTGTCTTTAGCAATGAGCTGAAATTGCTATTTGACTCTCAAATTAGTGTATTACTTATTAAGTGAATGTGTGCATCTCACTACTCTCGTTTAGAATATATCTCTTGTTAGCTTTCCTGGTGGTCTGAGAATTAATATTAGGGCTGGATGAATACTGCAGAAAACTTTCCAAGAACATTTGCTTACATTTTTGAATGAAGTAATTTTGAGCTTGTGAATAATCATGCGGTTTAGTTGTACTGGCACGCACGTTCACCAAAACTGAATTTCAAATTCTGACACGTGATTATTTATGATGGCGTCATTGTATGTTCATCCAGTTGGGAGGAAATAGAGTGACTTCTTTGACCTGTCACAACTAATCAGCACAGCTGAAATAGCAAACATTTGTGTGGCATGATTTGATGATGATCAGTATTTTTAATCACAAATTTATTAAATATTTTCAAATAAAAAATCTGAGGAAATAGCCATCTGCTTGTGGATAGTCTATAAGCAAAAGAGGGAACTAATTTCATCAGATTCACAGCAAATAGTTTATCATTCACACAAATCTGATCAGTATTGTTCAGTTTGGCTTGCGTCTTAGCCTTGTATTCTGCAGTTCTTGTTTGTGCAGACCTAAAGTTTGCTGATGTAGGTGCTTTATAAGTGAATCGGATAAGGAAGCATTAACTGAAAAAAAAGCAAGTCCTAGCAGGAGGCAACAGTCCTACCAGTAGATGCCAAAAATCATTGATGGTACTGCCTGTCAGAAGTGAGAAAGAGAAGGAGCAACCCATCTGTTCTGAATTGGTACAGTGAGATGCAGAAATCCACTTAACAGGTACATTTCTTATTCGAAGCTCTGGCTGTCACCTGTCCATTTTTAATTTTTTTTTCCCCCTAAGCTGTGTCCTCTGTGCCCTGGAGAAGTTGACAGGTTCCGATTAGGAACAAAAGACTTCCCCCCCACCCCACCCCCCACACTTTTTTATCCCATCTTTTGTTGATAAATTTTAAATAAAGTCTTTACCATGGAGTAAACTTGCTTCCTTATGCAGGCACACTTCCCTTCTGCCCTACCAGGACTTGGTATCTTGTTGAAAGCTCTCATCTCTAACTTGATTCATGTGAATCTCCTCCTCCCTCGCCCCCCAAAGATAGAGTTCAGGATTACTTGCTCTATTTATGCAGTATGATAAGTGGGTCAAATCAGTGTGTCAGTAGAACACAGTGCCAGATTTTGCAAGCTGATATTCAGTACTTTTGGATGGAGGTAAAAACGAAAATGTTGAAGACAGAAATGGATTGTGTAGGGTTTAGCTCTAGTGATTTCCAAAAACAAACAAATACACCTTTCCTTTCTCTCCTCCCCTCCCCCCCCCCGCCCTTGGTAATTCCTTCAGATTGAAAAGTTTGTTTCAATATTTGCTGTTTTACTCTTTTTTTTTTTAAAGCAACATAAAATATCTCACCTTAGTCTCTCGAGAAACCACGTGTCAAACATTTAAGATTGTGCTGCATAAAGTCAACTAGCCAAAATGACTGTATGCTATACTCCTTCCTTGTTTGAATGCTGAGTTACAGAGGAGGCTGAGTTAGCAAAGGTCTGTTATGAAGCAATTATCTCTGTCTTCTCTTTATGTAAAAATGAAGCGCATCATTTCAGGACCTTTGCTTTCAATGGGTGGGGTGGAGGTGTTTGCTAGATATATAATAGAGTGGCTTTTTATTTTATTTTATTTTATTTTATTTTTGCTTTGAAACTACTTTCCCTCCACCTCAGTTTGTTAGCAACTCACTTAAACATGAAAATGATATCCCATTGGGAAACATGTGACATTTGTTCTTTGTTGTTTATGGTTAAAAGTGGGATACGTCTCTTTCTATAAGGATTAATTAGTTGAACACAAGCAGAATTAATAAAAATTGGTTAATTTTTAGATACAAATTCTGAATTCCTTATTTGGCTTTTACAAAGTCCTGATGCAATAAGGGCAACAATTTTGCCTGAGCAATTATGTGAGTAAAAATGGGGAGGCAATCATCAGGATTTGCCCCTTCGTTGTAGTTTAATTCAAACCTGTTTAAGGTGAAGTATAGAATGTAGCTTTTTCTAATTTTGTTCTCTCCTATCAAAGAGAGCTACTTCTACAGGGTTTATGGGGACGGTTACATTTTTAATTTAATAACATCTGCTAGTTGATAGAATGTAAATAGTGGCTAAGAATCCTTTTGATTCTTTCACTGTTCATTCTCCAATTGCTTTCGTTGTTGGCAAAGTTGATTGTGGCACCTTCATTGTACTGTAATCTGTGCTCTGCAGTGGTAGCTCCACTCAGCGCTGTAACAAATCACTCCAATTAGAATAAATTATTTTATTCTTGTTGATTGTACTTTATGGCATGGATTACAACACTCCAAAGTGAGAATCCGTGCTCTGCAAACCATTGGCTCAAGGCAGCGTAAGGAGCCACCTCTTAATTTTACATTCCTGTTAGTGATCAAAATTTTACTTAAAAAAATTGCAAATAGAAGTTGACAGTGAATGGTTGTGGAGATGAGAACTTAAGGGCCTCTGTTTTCCATTTGCTCACCCAAGCCGCACACCTTACTACCCCTTTGCTTTTATTCTCCCACTCTCACCTCCATTCTTTCCCTTGTGGACTCCTACACTTGAAACTGCGTCTTTGATCCGGTCACCAGGCCTTCACCCTCTTCTCCTTCAAGTAGCTTCTTAAAACACCCCTTTTCCATTTAGCCATATACACCTTACTCTCCCCTCTCACAGTCACAAGTGAAAAATCTACCAGATACACACATTGCTAACCCATAGTAACCACATGATCCTACCATGGTAACCCTTGTCCTCACAATATTTGTTGCAATTTCTTGTCAAACTATCATAACTTAGACTATCAGCTCTTCAGCACAGGAACACTGTCTTCTATCTGCCTGTAAAGCTCCGTACACGGTTCTGGTGCTGTATTAAAAAAAAATATATATCCACAATGTTTTTCAATAACTTGGGGACAACCTAGCATTATTTAGCATTGAAACTAGCTGTATGGCCCCAGCCATCTCTTTATCAGCCCTGTTGTACATCGCAGTGTGCAATGTTAACAGAAGCAGCTTGAAACTGATAACTGAAGGCATGAAGATTATAAGCAGCACAAAATGTGAAGTTGTGAATATTTTAAACAGCATGGTTTCCCGTTCCAACAAATTCATGGGGTTGGAATCCTCCTGCCTAGAAGTTGCAGATGCAGGTGTTGTAAGCAAAACTTCCCCTGCTGTACCTCTATCCTTATTCGCTTTGTATTTCACTGGTAAGTCTTTGCTGTGAGCTGACCTGACTCTAAAAAGGAAGAAGGAAGGGTTTGTCATGTGCCGCTTCCTCTTTTGAAGACAGTTTACAACCCAACCTATGTTTTATGCCCTTCTTAAACTTTTTGTAGGCAAACGACGGAAGTCTTCTCCTAAACCTCTTGTTCTGAGTGAAGCTAAAAAGCAGTTAATGATCTACAGACTACCTCAGGTCCTCCGGCTGCACCTTAAACGATTCAGGTGAGTTTTGCGAGCCACAGGTAGTATTTAGCAAGTGAAATAATTGCATGGAAAATACGTGGTACCTTCTTTTTGGACATGAGTGGGTCATACACGCTATGAAATTCTCTTATTTCCTGCATAGTGGAAGCAAATAAAACATCTTACATGCAGCAAATGTTTAATTCACAGCAAAGAAGGCTTGTGTACTCAGTGTAGTGTCCTTATTAAGATGGGTAGCTTACTCTTAGGCTACATTTCCGCTACAAGCTAGGGGTGCGATTCCCCGGCCCATGTACACATGCTTGTGGTAGCTCTCATTGAGTCAGTGCAAGTATAAACAACAGTGCAGCCGCAGTGGCACGGGTAATGGTGGAACAACTGAGCTATGCCAAGTACAAACCCACCTGAAACTGGCAAGTTATGTACTTGGCTCGGCTCACGCGTGCTTCTACTGCCACTACTCATGCTACTGTGGCTGAACCGCTATTTATATTTGGACTATCTTGATGAGGGATAACGGGAATGTGTGTACACTAGCCGGAGAACCACACCCCTACCTCTGTTGTGTAGACATAGCCTTAATGTTTTTGAGAATGCAAACACTGGTCAACTTGTGTAAGTATTAATACAGTACAACTGTGTATCCTTTTGTGCAGTGCATTCAATGCCTGCCTGAGTTTGCAGCAGCCTGAAACAGTTCGGAAAGGTTCAAATTGACTCTCTTCATTCAATGGAGTTTCTGATTATGACCATTTATATGTCAAAACTAATATCTATTAAGCACTGATAAAAGCATGCAAGAAAAGATGGGGATAATCCTGAAAAGTTGCAGTCTACTGAGAGTAGCATCTCATTTTGGAAACACTGTGGTAGGTCTTCATCTATGGAACTTGCTCCCCCTGGTAATTTATCTGACCCCCCCCACTTTTGCCACTTCTAAGTCATACTTTTGTTCTGTTTTTTTCAATAATATAGCAGATGCTGGAACTATGGTTGGAAAGTGTCTTTTTGACTGATAAACCCAGCCCTAGTGTAATTATTATAGGGGAGTATGCTTCATATTTGGGGAAGTTTATATCCATAACTGAATCTCGTAAGTGGTGCTCAGACCACACTTATATGGGGCTATATTACACTTGGAGCATTTCCTGGGATTATTTCACACCAGTCTACAAACTATAATAGACTTCAGAGTGGGAGCAAGAAGAAAAACATATTTAATGTCTACCTCTCCCCAGCAGTGAAAATTCTTCAAAATCTCTTAGTAGCAGCAGGTTACTGGTCCCATCCCCACTTTTCCCCAGCTCCCTACCACTTTATTTCTTTGTAAAGTCCTTGAGTGTCTGGGGGGGTTTATTTTGATTGCATGCATTTGTGTTGCAGGTGGTCTGGACGTAATCACCGTGAGAAGATTGGGGTCCATGTCCTCTTTGACCAGGTATTAAACATGGAACCTTACTGCTGCAGGGACTCTCTCTCCTCTCTTGACAAAGAGACCTTTGTCTATGACCTCTCCGCTGTGGTGATGCATCATGGTAAAGGGTTTGGCTCAGGACACTACACAGCATATTGCTACAACACAGAGGGAGGTGCGTGTGCCTTATTACTGGGGAAACAGATTTTAAAAGTCTGTTTAATATTTTGTTCCATAGACTTAGTGTATTTTAAAGGTTTATAGTCAGAGTTGTTTTAAATAAAATTTCTTGCCATTCCATAGCTTTATTTCCAGAGCGTATTGCTAGTAGCATGTATTTGCATAAGGACCAAAGACTGCTTTTTCCTTTCCCTCCCTTGTAGCCCACTGGGATGGCTTTACTGCTTGCTTTGTAACATCAGCATTTCATTTTTCTTGTGCTATGTAACTTGATTGTGCTGCTCTGATTGGCATCTTTCTGACCCTACTTGGGAAGGGAAGATAACAACACAGAAAATGTGCTGAAACTGAAGCTGGACTTTTCATGAATAACATCCACAATGTTGGTTTTTTTTCTAAATTCCTGAACACTTATCTCTTTCCACAGCATGGGTATTGATACTACTCTTCCCCACCTTATTACAGAGAATGGAGAATTATAACTGTGCCTGTCTTGAAAGTTTTTAGTTTTCATTACTTGAGGAGGTTTTTTAAGGATATAATATAAAATCAAGTTACAGCTCAACTAGATAGTGGTAAACAGCATAGAAATGCTATGAAAGCCTGCTAACCTCCAGGTTAAAACACCCCTCTTCTCCCCCTCCCCTGAAAATTCCCATTTCTTGTGATTTTTTTTTTTAAGGGTTCGTTTATAAGAGACAATCAAAAGGATTAAGGTCTTGTTACTAATGTCCTCTTTCTTCCTTTGGTTCCTAGGTTTTTGGGTCCACTGCAATGATTCCAAACTGAATGTATGTAGTGTGGAGGAGGTGTGCAAAACCCAGGCCTACATTCTTTTTTACACTCAAAGAACAGTGCAGGGCAAAGCAGGAATCTCAGAAACACAACTCCAAGCTCAGGTGCCGTCCAAAAACAGCGATAAGGACAGAAGACTGACATTCCCATGATGGGAAGCATTAATAACTCAACTGACTCTCTCAGTTTTTTTAAACCATTGGTGTTCACACATCATTCCTCTTTGTAGGAATAAAGGCTTACTGCAGGAACAGATCAAATCACCACGTTTGCCACCCCAGGGTCCAGAAAAATGTGCATCAGGCTGTGCAATTCCATCATATAAAATTGTGGTCAGTAATTTTTTTTTTTTTAAATTTGGTAAAACTCACTTTCCTCAAAACAGCCACAGATGCCTAGTATCATTCATCTTATTTCAAACAGAAATTAAATTAAGCATGTAAAAGTAAGTATAACCCATTTGTTCAACCAGAATACAAACCTATCAAACAACTGATTCCCAAATTCGCTAGTAATTAATACTGATTACAAAAAAAATCTCCAGAAAAAAGAGGTACAGTAGAATCTCATTTAAGCTTCATTCCCTTGTTGTCAATTATATTCTCTGGTGTGAATCACTTACCCAATCCCTTCCCACCTGTGTTTATCTGAATGACTTCAATTTCCCCAAAATATCTTGAATAGGTGGAGTTGTACTTTTCCAAAAGGCATTCTTGCTGGTGAGCCTTCTAAGGCCCTTTGCCCTAGGAAAACGTTCCACCAGGCCTTACATTGTCTGTAACAGTGTTGAAAACATTTTGAAAACAGATTAGTGCAGATAGGACAACACTAGTAGAGGAAGGGACTAGCAATGGATCATTTTCTTAGTATTGACAGGGCCTAAATATAGCATTGGTACACCACATGGCAGCATTTTTCTTTAACTGGACTGAATGGACTTGGAAATTTAGTGTTCACTTCTGATACACAATGTGATCAATGTGGTTCTGCTCTGGAGAGAGATCATGTAAAAGTGAAACCTTCTGATTGATCAGATCTGCCCCCTGTACATGTTCCGAATCCTGTCTGCAGACATTAGCAGCAAAAATAAGGGTGAGTTGTTTTTTACTCCTGTTAGCACTAAAGTGCCAACACAGCTATAGGGGAGTGGGCTGGATTTTGTTTCTTTTTGTGCATAAATAGAATTGCTTACTAAATTCCAATCTGTTACACTTCTGCAAGTTTGAAGACAATGAGGTTGCATAGATATTATGGAGGATAGAATTTGGCCAGCCACATCTTTATTTCAAGTGATAGCTTGGCTCTCAAATCCCACTTTGAGTTTGCAGAGCTGCAGACTTATAAAAACAACTTTATACTTGCAATCTGAGCTTGATATAGAAATCACTGAAACACAGCAACCATAGGACCTCACGGTACCATTTTTAGTCCCTTTTCTCAGTAGAACCACACTTCAAACATTTATTTAGTTTGAGGATTGTGCTGTCCATGTTCAATTTTAGAGATCAGACCTGAGAGTTTGAAAGAGGTTTTCTTGTTCCCTGTGCAGTCAGTCTTGTTTGGTGGAGATGGCTAAGGTGGAAACAATTTAAAAATCCAGTGTTCCAGTGGGACATTTTAAACCTCAGAAATTTAAACTTAGAATCCAGGTAAAAAGTCCTGAAATCATTGGTTTTCCTTCTTTCCCTATTTCCTTTTATTCTTGTCAGCATTTGCCCATCATACATAAACTAATTGGCAGAGCCAGCCCATCCTATTGTTCTAGAGGGTGGGATAAATTTCCTGAAGTAATACCCTCTTGCCATTGCCGCTATCATGACAATTAACCTCCTGTCTTAAGAGCAAAACAGACTCTCTTCTCAGGTTGTTGTTAATCACTCTCAACTATCCAGAAGGGAGGGAGGGAGCACTACGGCAGGGCAGGCAACCAATTCCTTTCCTGTCACCAGAGCAAAGACTGAGCGTGTCACCTCAAGGAGACACTGGTCTTCATTGTCCTGGGGAGTGGGAGTTGCTCGGGAATCCATGTTTCCTGTATGTCTGAGCAACACGTTGCTTTGGAGACTACAAAAATCGCCTGGTTTTGTTTTGCTAGTAACTGTAATTTCAAAATTCTACCGTTTTACTCACTGGAAGCAAAGCAATGTGAGGCAGTCCCATAGGTGCTAATGAAATTGTGCGTGTTTTTTTTTTTTTTAAGCCTTATCTGTAACTAGGCTTGGAAGGAATTGATTTTTATTTCTTATGAATTCTGACAGGTATTTGTTTATTTCCTATGTGTAGGTACTGATTTTTGGGGGGGCAATTCAAGGAAATAAAAACAAACCCCATAGATAGTAACTCTTCAAAATGTAATGGGCCAAATTAAGACAGAATGTAAGCCGATTCAACTCCACTGAATTCACTGCAGTCCAAATTTGGCCCACGGAATGTAAAAGTTGAGCTCCGTAAGATTTTGAAACAAAATCATGCAGTTGTGATTATCAAATATTTATAAGCATGATTGGTTCTTTGCTAATACAAAAAGTACATACTTATTAGTCCAAACAATATTTGAAAGAAAAAAGTAGAGAAGAGAAAGCTGAAGCGTTAAAATACCTTTTTAAATCTTTTTTTTTGGGGTGGAGGGAGAAATTGATATTTTCCAAAGCACTGCTTATCCTTCCAAGCCTATCAATACTTTTAAGATGAAATTGGATCTGTTATTTAACAGAAAGTAGATTATTTGCTTTTAAACTGCAGTCACAGTTTACCATGACTGATGACCATAATGGCAAATTTACTTTCTGAAAACTCCTGCCATGGTAACCCTGTTGTAAAAAAGTCTATGATATAAAGGCAAACCACAATGCAACATTACAATTGTTACTGCAGTGAGCCTAGACTTATCACTATGAATGCTCATCTTTTGACTGAGTGTGTTGCATTAATATTTGAATTCAGGTAGTAATACAGTTGTCACTTGAATTGAGTAGCTTGCAGAGAGGGAAGGGAGGCTGGAAGGAGGGTGTACATTTAGCCATCAATGTATCAGATTTCCCAAGCAGATTTGTAGCATTTGCTGTTGACATCTTTTGAGATTAGTGGCCTCTCCATATGACATTAACCCAGTAGTGCTGAGATGTGGTGAAATTGCAGTCAGAAAAAATGACTTACCCTGGTAGGGAAGGAAATAATTATACTTTAAATTAAACTTGCTTTTTCCAACACTGTGAGGTTTCTGTAATATTTAGCTTTGATTTGGAAGCGATAGCGTATAGCATTTTTTATGCTGTTTGGTTTATATTTGTCTACTGCAGGCTTCTTCATATAAGCATCGCCCAATGCTCCTGCTGCGCTGTGCACTGTTTTATAGTGTCCTGGTTGCCAGAAATTCTGATTGGAAGTTACGTGTCTAGGTCAATAAGGTGAAGATGTTACTTGCAATTACAGTGAAGTCCACTTAAGTGAATGCTTGACAAAAGTGTAACCTATAAAATAAACGTTGTCCCTCCTTAATCCTATGAGTCAAATTATGCTCAGACACTGGCATATATTTAGAGTCGCTCAGCTGAAGTCAATTGAATTACTCCCGATTTAGGTCCCTATCCTGCAAACACATAACATATGGGAGCTACCTGAATCATGCAAGTAGTCCCATTTACTTTAATAAGACTACTCATGTGAGTAGTTATGTACATGCTAAGTGTTGGCAGAATCAGCTCCTTAAATTGGTGTAATTAAGAGCAGAATTTGGTCCTGTATGTGTAGCTAAAATTCTTCAATTTAAAAAAGAAAAAATTGTTGGAGCAGGCTAATATCTCAATTCTTTTTTAAATGACTGGCCGAATAAGAAATGATGCCTGTTCCGTACCAGTGGATTAGCTTGATGGAAACCCTTTGCAAGAGGTCGCTGCTGCATATGCAAAAACAAAGATGTCGATGACCAAATTTGTAGGGCTCTGGAGCAGCAACTAATGCTAGCCTTAAACCTTAGAGTGCTACAGTAGATGAAAAATAATTGTCACCATTTTTTTTCTGTCCTACCTTTGCTCCTGTGGCTTTCTAGGAGCCCGATCCTGTCAGGTGAATAGAGCCTCCTGAGAGGCTTGTTGTGCTGAGCAACAGCCAATGGGAGTTGAACGTGATTGGTACCTTACAGGATAGGACTCTAGAACCAGAGGAAGCTGCTGTAAATTAATGAATTACTTATACTCGTATGTATGTGCAACCTGAAATATGGAGGCACCACCAGCACCTCCTCAATATATTTAAATCTTAAGTAAACCAGCTTTATTTCACTTAGTTTTTTAAATATGAAAATCTTAAAATGTACAACTTCATGGTCAGGTTAAGTCCCAAGGTCTGCTAAGGTAGTTGGAAAACATTGTTTTAGGCTAACTTCACCACTAGCAAGTTAATTACAACTACTTCCCAGTACGTTATGCTCTTACTGCCTGCACTGCCAAGTTAAACTATGCACTGTGCGAAGAGGAGTTTCAATGCAAAATATTGAAAGCTGACAACGTTTTTTGTAGTCTACTGACTACATGAACTCTAGTTTGATAACTTCAAACATTGTCACAGGTGAGGCAGTAGATGGAATAATGCATATTAAACAGTCTGGGACTGAGCTGTCATATTGGAATTGTTCCTTCCGGGTGACAGGACCACCTCCACACAGTTAAGAACTTCCAGACATCTTTAGTGTAGAAATAAAATTGGAAATGGTAAAAATGTTAAATGTGTCCTATGGACTCGTAAGCAGAGATTATTTTTGTTTTTAAAAGCCAAGGCTTCTAGTATAAATAGTCTCTCTGCCATACAGAAGCTCTGTTTCTGATAGAATATGCTTAGTTACCTCCCAGTGAGAGAGACAAGCAAGTGGGTGTTGGCTGCCATCAAAATACCCCAGCATAAAATGGGAGCGGTCGACAGTATTACAGAATGAAAAATTTGAAAAAAAGGGGGTGGGGATGGGAGACTGGGAAAGGGGTTAGTTTTACCTACTGATAAAGCTTTGTGAACTAATTTTTATATGATTCATTAAATTTGGTGCCTTGTATCCAATTACATTTTGCATGGGACCGAAAAGTTGGGAGTTTTAAGAGAATTTCCCCTCTCATCATTCAAGTGGCAGACAAATCTGTATGTTTTTTACAAGTACTTTTCAGTATCATTGACATTTTTACATTTCATATCTGTATGTGAATGAAAAAAACGGTTCTTACCAGCAAGTTCAGAACTTGGTGTATTTTGGTGTACATGTCTGAAATCTCTGTGTTTGTAATAACTCAAATGACTACTTGTTCAAAGGCAGAACATGTTTGTTTTTTTAATTTTCTTTCTGTGTTACTCAGGCCACTTCCAATCAGGTCAGTAAGGTTACTCCTCTCAAAACAATAACCTTATTTATAAGAAGACCTGTGTTCTATGAGGGATAAAAACTCCAATTGTAGCATTTTGGTAGAGTAGTAGGAGTTTTGGAAAGGCCTTTCTGATTTAAACATATTGACTGATAATTGGAGACTTAAAATGGGGAGGGGGAGAGAGATAGTTACCTTTGCCATGGTACTATTTGCACAGACTTACAGTTAGCGGTGTAGCAAACAATCCCACAATACTGCAGTTTCATATGCAAGATGCACGGTTGTTTAAGGTGGCTAAATATCTCTACTTAAACAGTAGATGGTAAAACCCAATGCCTACTCTGAACGCTGCCTTCTTTTGTGTCTAATCTCTGCACCTGGTTTGAGATTAGGCAGGGAGGAAGGAGTTGAGGAATTTCTTGCCTGTGGGAATATAAAACCTAAACTGAGAGGGGTTTTGGTTTCTATTACATTAATATTGATATCCATTTATTTACAAGTGGGAATGTGAAGCATTCTTGCAAGTTTTTAAATTTGTAAAACCACAGCACAGTTCTCCTGATCAAAACTGCATATGTTACCTGTACCAATTTGTAATTAGTTGTCATAGTTAATTTTAGGGTATGCCTTGAGCTATCCCTTCCATTGTGCTTATTTTATTTTGTGTGTATGTATGAGTTCCAGTTGTTCTAAGAATAATTTGTATGGTTGGCCAAAATGCTTTCAAAAGGAATTTTTAAACTGGAATAAGTCTTCTTAAAAATGTTTTCAACTTACATTTCCAAAAGGAAAAAAAAATTACCAGCCCAGTGGGCCCAAGACTGACTTTAACCACTGTTAACTATTTATTGTTTGAAGCTTGTGCATGATACAGAATGCATTGTAGTTATAGGGCACTGTCTGAACAGCCCTTTTACTGAATTCTGTTCAGGTTGGAGTTTGGGAAAGGGAAGGAGTTAAAAAACGACCCATGGACAAAGCTGAAGTGACCACTGTAAAACGTTTTGGATTATATGTGGATGAGGCAGGAAGAGTTTAATGACAAGGGGATCCAGCAGTGAATGCTTTTTTTTTTGGGTGGGTGGTGGTGGCGGCAGCGGCGAAGGGCATAAAATCCAAGAATGGAATCTGATCAGAAGCAAAATCCTAACCCTTGAGGGCCTGCCACTTACTTTTTGTAGAATTAATGGTTGTGAATTTAATGGAAAACTATTTCTTCTCAGAAACTATCCACTCACTTCTCTGGAGACTTAAAGAAAAATATAAAGGAAGTCCCCTGCTTAAACCCCACAATGGTCAACTGTATAAACATGTTGTGAATACTTGGAGGTAAGAAAGGAATGGATAGACACAATTAAAAGCTTGTACTTGAATTTAATATTCAAAAATCATGGTTATGCATTTCAGGGTAGAAAACTATTGCCTTAGATAAGAGGGAGAAACTGAATTCTTTTCATGTTAAAATTAAACTCTGTAGAGAACTTTCTGATGCTGACTTTTTGCTTGACAAGCAGAAGGAACATCTAGGGCCTGGGATGGAACAGCGTTTAGTGTACTTGTAATTAGACTCAATCTAAGAGCTTGTCTACATGGTGGGGTAATACATGCTCTGGGAGTGTAATTTTTGAAGTGTACTGTATATTGCATATTAATGGGCCCTGTCTGCACACATTTTGTATCAGTATAACTTTTGGTTAGGGTTGTGTAGTTTGGGGTTTTTTTTAAAACAAGTAACTAAAGTGATATGACTTCCTACGTGTGGCTGGTGGTGGTGCTTATACCAGTATGGCTTATTCCCCTTCTCATTTGTGGAATAAGCTGCAGTGGTATACGTATATATCACTATAACAGCAGCCACACTGGAGAGGAGGGAGGATTGTACCACTTTAGCTATACCACTATAGTTAAACTACTACAACTCTTGTGCGTAGACAAGACCTAAGAATGTATCTTATCAAAAGGGACAAGCTAGAGCCTTAGGTGAATGACTTTTTCTGCCAACTTTTTCTGCACTCTAGTCTAGAATCTGTCCCTTAACTTAAACAGTTGCCTAGATACATCTTGGCACCTTTCTGACTGGATAAGTAATGTCGCCTTAAGTCTGTCTAACTCAGTACTGCTGGTCTGGCAAGACTACAACTGTATACACTCTTGCCTAATCTTATTAGAAAGCCCTTACCACTTGACAGTATCATTCAGCCCAGCAATTAAAAGTTCACATAGGTACAGATTTCCTCCGGCCTCAAATAAACCACACAAAAATATGTGAAAACTCACCTTTTGAGTAAGTGTTTGAGGGGCAATCAAAAGTGACCTTGATACTAGCACCATGAGGAGCCCCAGGTGTTAAGTAGAACTGACCCATTTTAACTTAGCTTTAAATAAGCATTTACAAATTCAGGGGGAAACACTTACTCAATGCCATAACTATGAGTGTCCATTAAAGAGGGAGTTCATATGAGAGGAAAAACAAGTTATAAAAGTTAGCTAAGTTGTTTGCCCAAAATAAAATCCCCCTCGATGTTTTTCCAATAGTCTTCCCCTTCTTAATGTTTTAAAATCTGATTTAAACAAATGTTCACATAACAGCTAAACTTAGTTTACAATTTCTGATCATGGATTTCCAAGCTTCTTTATGGAATAGTGATTAAGGTTGGGATTTTGAAGAGCCCTTGATTGGGCTCAATTCTTCCCCCATTAAATCAATAAGAATTACACCCTTGACTTCAATAGGAGCAGTTAGACCAGGGCCAAGTACTTTTGAAAATCCCATTATAAAGTAACACTTTGCTGACTGTTCCTGCAGCCAAGTGCTTGGTGATCCTTGGAAGGCTGCTGTCCTTTAAATATTTGCAAAGGCTGGAAAGAACGGAGTTTTCTTTTAACACTAAACATTCTCTTGAAAGCAGAAATGAAGGATGGATGTTTCTTTTGCTTTTTAGAGTGAGAAACACGAAGTGTGAAAGGGGGGGGGGGGACTTGGCCAGGTTGTGGGCTTTTCAGTGACTTTTGCGAGGGTTTTAAGTCAAAGCTAGGTGTAGCTGTACTATAGGCTTCTGCTACCTGATCAATAATTATATAAGCTGATTCACACCATGCTCTGGTAATTAACAAGGCTGTCTTAGCTGCAAGGACTTTCACAGGTGATAGCTGAGAATCCGACTATTTCTGGTAGCACGGTCCAGCTGTCAGGCCAGCTCAGTGCACAGATGTATTGGTGAAGGACCGCTCCTAATCTTATGTAAGTTAAACAAGCTCTATTTCAGTCCAAGGCTTGTGAAGACAACATCCAGTAACTCATCATGACAGAATTATGATGCTAGAGCTGCATAACCTGGCCCCTGTCTGAACCCAAGTCCTAGGAAGAAGTTAGGGTGTTAAGTCAAAAACCTTTAGGAATCAAGTTTAAATCTATCTATTCAATGTTCTGCGGAGGCCCCTTTTAATTTTTGCCGGAAGAGGATATGTCTCCAGTTTAGTGAGCCTTAAATTCACAACGAGAATACTTGTTCTGAAAATTTAGGCAGAGATTATTTCCAATTAACTTACTATTTGATAAAGCTGAAATTGACTTATTTCCTCCATCCATTCTTAAGGGCCCTCACCAAAAAACAAAACAGAACCCCAAATTTGTAGGCAGTGCTATGTAAGACTCCTTTGAACACAGAGTAATAGATGAACTCATGCATAAAATTCCAAAGGATCTGAAGCCATGCTGCAGTGGTGCTGCAAAATGCTCAGGGCTAGAACGCGTGCTACTGTTTGTATAGCTGTAGCACGACAATGCACGTGATTAAAGCTAGAAAGTAGCAGTGCTTCTGAGCCTGTCCTCCATATCATCACTTTCACCTCCCATGGAATAGCCTCGCCACTATCAGCTGGATTCCAACAACAACTTAATGGTGGCAACTAGTAGAACCAGTCCAAGTCACTAAAATGCTATGCAACACCAAACAGCTTCTTCCCCAAGTATAACATACAATCATAATTCCTCGAAGATAAAAGAAATGCACCAGCTTTATCCTGTCTGAACATTTATCCGTGTACATTTATGGTGGTTAGAGTTTACCTAGGGCTTTGAAAAAATTTGTTTTCCCTTTGAATAAATAGCTGACAAGTCCTGCTTACAACACAGGATTGGGACTTGTTCTTTTCTCTTTTGGGTGTGAAATATGAATCATGTTTTTATGATTTTTTGTAAATCTTTACTCTTTTTTACACCTTGTTTTGTAAGCTGAAGTTTCCTATTAAAAGAATAAAATTCCAGTGCAGTAGAATGTCATTATTTCACACATGATAATTTAATAATCTTCTAGACATGGTACAGAATTAAACTCAATATGAAACAGCTTCACAAGTCTTGAAAATATAACTGATTACTTTAGTATACATTGAGCTCAGTGGGGTGAACTGAACATACAACTAACATCTCACGAGTTAAATGGCTTCTCCTCACTTATCACTGTTCATTGCAGAATGATAGCTATGCGTGAATTAAAATACAATTTTAGAGCTGCTGCTGAACTTTTAGTTACCGAGAACAAAAGCAACAAACACCACACGACTCTTCTGATCATCATTTTGGTCATCCTGTCACATTGGGACGAGAAGCTCTTCAGACTTGATGCAGGTCCACTTTATTCACGTCTGCAATTAAAGACCAGACAAAGGATGGGTTAGAGAGCCAAGTGTCTGGTCTAGTGTATTAAAATGGCATTGGGTGCGAAGTCACTGAGGTACCCCCTGACACTTAAGGTAATCATGTTTTCCCCTAGAATGCCACTTTGAGTTGTGAAACACCTTACTGTTCTCTTAATGGTAATGCCTGGGGGGTGTTCAGTCTTGTATCTGAACACTATTTTAGGGCACAATATAAATCTGTAGTTTTACAAGACCTACCTTTTTTGCATGTTTAGCTGGTTATATAATTATGCAGATCAAGGAAAAATCTATGTAATTTGAATTTCGCTGCCCCTTTGAAGGGCATTTTGGAGCTTAAGGTAACCTTAAAAATCAGCTGGGTGGTCAGGGCTCACTGTAATATCCATTACTGACCATAAGGCTAGGTTGAGACTGTGCCGTACATTACATTAATCAGAATGTCTTAGATACCCAACATATTTACTAGTACAGCTTTGCCAAAGTAGGTGTGAAAAAAGGAGGGGGGAGGAGCTCAATCCACAGGAAGTGGAAGGCTGTTGACAACTCTAAGGGGTAGTATAAAGCAGTGGCGGGGAGACTCCTACAAAGGACGCGCAGACAGATTTATGCAAGTCTTTGAAACTGAGACGTAGGCCCTGGAACTTTAAAGAAGTCTCTTGCGCAGCCCCGTAGTCCTCTTCTAACTTGCACACTCCTCCTCCCCAAAACAGACTTGAATATTGAAGTTTGATAGCTCCATACAGTGGAACCCCAATTAGCCAGAAGTGCAGTTCCCAGGACTTGACTCTGTAGAAAATCATGCACTGCAGTCTTTTAATCCTGCCACATGCAAAAGTTCCAGAACTTCCCATATCTATTGCTGCTCCTTTATCCAAACCCTTGATTATCCTGATTAGTTTGTCTCCTCTCATTATTCAAATGACTATTTCCACACCTTCACAATGTCAGGTACTCACTGGCACTGCTATGCAACTGGTGGAGGAGACATCAAATCAATGTCTGTCAAGTTTCGGGCTACCCAGACTCCAGCAGCAAAAAGCCCCAGGTTAACTATGAGGTTTCTGAAACAAATACATAGTAAGTTAGATTTGTTGAAGCAACTGGTGGCGTCTGGCCTACATTAAAGTGTTTCCTACCTAGAATACCAACTGTAAATGTACAGAGCAAGACCTCCAGCACTGACAGCTTTAAAACAGTAACAAATATTAAGTCTCATTGCCAAGCCTATGCTGTAGCTGGAAGAAGCAACAATGTTAATTTTGGGTGGAGGTTTCCCTTTTTTGCTGCCTGCTGTTTAGAAACCATTCTGCTCCCATCTATATTCTGTATTTCCCCTGCTTCATCCTATATTAGGGAGATTTCCATGAAAACAGGATGTTTGTCTTAAGAACTCATTTGCTCCTGCTGCTTATCCCCCCCTCCTATAGTAACTAGCGGATGCCACAATTATGGCAAGCAGAATTATGACTTCAGGTAGGGAATAAGCAGCAGGATCAGATGAACTCAAACAGATGTCAGGTTTTTCACGTACCAGAGATGTTGGTAACAGAAAAAGGCAAATGCAGAGAACAGGATTTAATTGTTTCTAATTTGATTTTTTTTTTAAGTATTTCAGGAGTGTATTCTCCTCAACACCTGCTTAAAATGATTAGATATGCCCTGGGATGATTGATTTATGTTAATGTAAGAGGATAAACGTTACCTGCCTCATGTGTGGGATCTTTACCTTAAAGTACCAGACTCTTACTCTGAATAACAATATGTATTAAGCGCTTTAAATTTGAAAGGAAATAAACAAACATACATCCTCAACCTCTTTACTAGATAGGAAAGGTTCTTCTCGCCCCGTCCCCCTCCAATCCTCCTCCCTTTTACAGATGTGGAAGTAGAGGCCCAGGAAGGCTGTCACTTGTCCAGGGTCACAGAGCAAGACAGTAACAAAGCCACACATAGATTGCAGGACTCCTGATGCCCCATCCCCTTCTCTAGCTGCAACACCACAGTCTTCCTCCTCCCAGGTGGAGGGGAACGGAACAGAACCCAGGAAACTCTTGACTGCCAGGCCCCAGTTCTGGCTACCAGACAACTGCTTCTCCTTACAATCTCTCACCTCTCAGTGTATCACTTAGGGGCCTTGCCCTATTGAAAACAATGGAGCAGACCTAGCACCGTTCCAGATACAGTTTCCACAACTTCATTTTCCACCGAATCCAATGTTTCCCTTTAACTTGTCTTCATCTTGCCCTGACCCCACCCCGAGCCAGGCTTGCCCTCGCACCATTTGGCTTAAAGACCTGTGTGTACTTCCCAGGCTATGGGGGCCCCAGCCTATGAGACCAAGGCAGTTCCCTGGCACATACAGAGCCAAGGGCCTCCCCCATCTCAGCTCCAATAAGTGCCACAGAACCAGGCCTGACTCCTGGGGGGAGCTACAGGCACACAGCTCAGATCCCTGCAAGGGCATGTGAAAAGCACCTTGCCCCCACGCTGAGGTCACAACGAGGGGAGGGGAGAACGTCCCTTTTCCCTGCTGGGGGGCGCACTGTCACAGCTCCCGGGGTCCCCCTTCTCCCCGCTGGGGGGGCGCATGTCACAGCTCCCGGGGGTCCCCCTTCTCCCCGCTGGGGGGGGGGGCGCTGTCACAGCTCCCGGGGGTCCCCCTTCTCCCCGTGGGGGGGGGGGGCGCTGTCACAGCTCCCGGGGATCCCCTTCTCCCCGCAGCAGCGCGCTCGGGCCCGGCCAGGCAGCACCTGCGGAAGTCGTTCCTGTCGGCGGCGAAGTGGCAGGCGCTCCGGATCCAGTCCCGCAGCCCCTCGCGGCGGGACCCGGGGCTGCCGCTGCCTCCCGCCTGCCCTCCCGGCGCCATGGCTGCTCCGCGTGCTAGGGGCGGGGCTTCAGCGGCTCGTGCGGGCCACGGATAAAACGTCATATCCTGCTCATGGCTCGGCCTCATCCCGTCACTTCCGTTGCAGGGCATACGCGGGAAAGCGGCGTGGGAGCGCGTGGCAGCGTGGAGCGATGCGCGTGCACAGGGCACGTGCACGTACAAAGTAGGAGGTCCCCTGCGGCGCTGCATGTGCAAAGTGCAAGTACCCGTGCAATCCCGGCGTGCAGAGCACTAGACCCCGAGCATCATTCCCTGTGCAAAGCACAAGCCTGGGGCTAGGCCACGTGCACGGGGCAGAGGGACGTGCAACGTCCGTGTGCAAAGTGCATGGGCGAATGCCAGCCCTGTGTGCAAAATGCAAGTGTGCATGCAATCCCTGTGTGCAGAGTACCAGGCCCCGTGCAACACTCCATGTGCAAAGTGCAAGCCCTTGAAAGATAAAATAGGGAAAAATGAATATAAATAATGCTAGTCCAAGGCGTTGATCCTGAAGTCCCTGCTCTGGTTAGTAAAGTTATATCCTTAAATGTCTGCAGGATCAAACGCATGGACACCCAGAGAAATAACCACTAGCTTTGATAGGATGTGAATATGGTTTTCTGAGAACATAGATATGGGCGGACTAGGGACTAAAGAAGAAAAGGACATAGACTGAGATGTCAGTGATGGAGAGAGTTAAAATGACAACAACTATTGGAAAGTTTGCCAAGATTGTTCATGGATCCAAATGCCTCCTACGAACAGCACATTAACAAGGCACCTTCTCTCAGTTGACCTAAATTACGTTAGCATACAGCCACCAAAGTAATTACATCACTTCTGCACGTCTAGATTTTCCTCCTTGTGTTGGTGGGGCATCTCCTTACCAGGAGCGCTTGCATCGCTTGAACTGTCAGTGTGTGGCATTGTGGGTCGGCTTTGGAAAGCCAGCAACACTTGATGTGAGCAATGCAGTGTCTATACTGACTCTGCTGTGACCTAACTACATTGACTGGGTCTCAACGCCTCTTGTGGAGGTGGAGTTATTAAGTCGGTGTAGTGGGCGAGTTACATCAGCGGAAGCAAAATTTTAGTGTAGCTGCTTATGTAGTGTGGTTGATATAAGGTGCTTTGCGTCGAGCTAACACTGTAGTGTAGACCAGGGCTCAGACTGACCAAGCCTCCCAGCATATCAGGGACACTCCCATTTGCAACAACCCCCAAACTCCCTATTTAGTAATGTTATTATCACCCTCCTTAAAAACTACATTACCCAGAACCACATGTGCACACCACGCCCTCTCTCTCTGAGCCTGGAAAAGAGAGTGATATGCATGTGTAGCTAACGCACAAGCTTTTAGGTAATGTAGTTTCTCTCCCTTCTGCTAATGGGAGTGCAGGAGGGGGCGGGCTTGTCTGGGCTCGGCATCCAATGGCAGGGCGGTATGGTAGATTTGAAGACACCTGGGCTAGGTGGTGGTAGGTCAGTAATGGAATGGGATGGAATTGGGGTGTATCCTGGCCTCCCAAGGGAGAGGGTAGAGCCCCCTCAGGACTTGGGGCAGCAGGGAGGGGAGGCAAGCCCATGTGGTTTGGTTCTGTTCTGCTGCAACACCCAGTAAAGAGCAGTCTGCTTCCCGGGGTGTAATTGCAGCCCTGCTTCCATGAATGCTGCCAAGCTTTTTAAAGCCTTTCCAGGTCCAGGGCCCAGCTGCGGGGTCTGCAAGTCTGCTTGCCT